ACATCGCAGGCGAGGAGCGGCTTCAGGGTGGGCTCAGTCAGCGGGCACCCCGCGTCGTGCGTCTGGTAAACCTTCAGTTTGCCGGAGGCGGTGTCCTTCACGAGCCACGCCCAGCCCGAGCCAAAGTGGCCCACAGCCGCATTTGTAAACTCCTCCTTAAACTTCGCAAAGCTGCCGAAGGAAGCCTTGATCTCGTCGGCAACCTTGCCCGTCGGCTCGCCGCCTCCATTAGGGCACATGCTCTCCCAGTAGAACGTGTGGTTGAAGATCTGTGCCGCAAGGTTGAACACGGGGCCTTTTTCTGTCTTGATGATCTCCTCGATGGTCTTCTGCGCGAGCGCCGCGTTTGTCTGCGCCGCCGCGTTGAGCTTCGTCACGTACCCCTGATGGTGCTTGTCGTAGTGAAACGTCACCTGCTCCTTTGAAATGCCTTTTGCGGCGAGCCCGTCGTAGCCCCACGGCAGCGGCGGAATGCTGAAGGTCATTATTCTGCTTGTTGTTTGCTTAGTTGTGGAAAACTTCTTGGATCCCTTGCACCCCCGACAAAAAAAAAAAAAAAAAACGAAAGACGCATTTCCCTTGAGGAATGGCGCGCGCACACACACATATAGAAACGTCCTCGCTGTGACGACGAGGGAGACTCGCTCGCGCCGGAAAGGAAGGGGGTTGCAAGACGACCACACGCAGCCGCGTCTCCGCACTCGAAACTGCCTGCGTCGAGGCGCGCACTGTGAGCTCCGTGTCGCAGCAACTACCACGCGCTCCGCTGCGGCTCACACAGCCGCGCGACGGAGCGCTGCAGCACTTCAGAAGCGCAGGATGCGTCAAGTTTAACCCGCGGAATGCCTTCATGATCGCATACGAACTTTGTGTAGTTCCACCGTATGGGGCCGAGCGAGGCCTGCAGCATCCGAAACACGGGGTGTGCGTGAGGCCCCTTCACCTGCACCTTGTCAAAGAGCGGGAAATTCAGCTCCCGGGCTTGCGCCCACTCGACAAGCTCCTCGCGGCTCTTCGGCTCCTGGTTGGCGAACTGGGCACAGGGGAAGCCCAGCACGGCGACCCCGCGCGGCCCGTACTCCCGCTGCAGCTGCGTCAGCTGCTGCAGACTTGCGGCGCTGAAGCTGCAGAGAGACGCGGTGTTGACAATGACCGTCACGAGCCCGGTGTATTTGGACAGCGCCACGCTTTTGCCATCCAACAACGCGGAGTACGCGAAGACTGCGCTGCCGCTCATTCCACGCCTCGGCAAAATTTCGCCACGCAGGCAACTACACAGCAAGAGTGGGAAGGAGAATGCACCGTCATTTGTTTATCGCTTCTGTTTTGCTCTCCCTACGTCTTTCGAGTTTTTGGCTCGGCCTCGCCACCCCTGCGTCGTTGCAACACGCACACACACTGCGCGGGGAGAGGAAGTTTTGCTCCCCCGTCATGCTCGGCAACGCCGCCGGCGTCACCGCCCCCCGCGTCAAGAAAGCAGAACAGTAGACAAGTGAGAAGGCGCGGGGGGCGAAAGACGACAAGACAAAAAAAAAAAACAGAAATAACCGCACGTCTTCGCCCAACGAGCAGAAACTCCGGTGTTGCTGCGGAAGTGCGGGCGGTCGCGCGGAGGCGGGCTGCGCCATCCCACCTACTTCCGTGCGGCAGCGGGCACCCCGGCGGCGTGGTGGCGGTCAACGGCCCTTTTAACGGCCCCAGTAAAGGCAGGAATTCGGATGGGCTGCCCGATGCCTCCCTCGTCCACAATGTAAAACGGGTTCTTCATCACATGTTCCACGTACAGGGAGTGCAGCTCGCGAAACAGGGCCGTGCACTCACGGGTGCGGCTATCCGAGACAAGCACAAACTTCACCAACGTGGGGGTCTCGTAAATGTGAATGTTGTGCTCATCAAACTCCACAAGCGTCATCCCCGCACTATCAACTGGATTGGCGTTCGGCGTCAGCTCCTGCGACATGCCGTACGTGGAGAAGAGGATGCTGGACATTGTGAGCTGCAGGTCCGGTTTGGCGCCGAGTTCCCCAATGTTCTCCGGGGCCGTGAAGCTGGCCTTTGCGATGAGCTGCCCCGACTGGTTTATAATCCACAGCAGGTGGACCGTCATGGGTGGTCGGGGCGGATGAGGTGGGGGAGGGGGAGGTTCACCGTCTGGCCGCCGTGGCTCGCTCTCCTTCGCTGCTGCTGCTCCTCCTCCTCTGCTGCTGCTGCTGCTGCTGGCGCATGCGTGCGTGGTTGACGCATTCCCGTCATGTCGAACGCGCCAAAACGCGGCCCACAAGAGAGAGTGAGAGGGCAACGAAGAAGCAAGCTGGGGGAGTGAGAAGGCAGCGCAACACTCTCTGCCGCAGGAGGGGGCGAGTTCCACGGGAAGCAATGTGAATGCCAAGGCAAAGGATGAGAAAAAAAAAAGACGAAGGAACATCGTTGCAACATCGTTCCCTCACAAAAATGTCGGTTTGTCCACTTTCTTTTTTTTTTGTGCGTATGTCTGCTTGTTGTTGTTGCTTTTTTTTTTTACACGATGGTGGCAGGTGTGTAAAGAGGGAAAAGGGGAAGAAACTCCCGCGCTCTCTCCACGCACACCCCTTAATTTATCCTGTTTATTTTGATTCTCTTTCCCTTTTTCTTCTTTCCGCTTTGTTGCTGAATGCCTGGTTTGCCTCTTTGACCCGGCAGCTGCTGCCGCTGCCGCCGTGCTTTGCGGCCTTTTATTTCTCAGCCGCCGCCCAGGCGCTCAGGCGCTCAGTCCCATGGGGGGAGACCGTCCTCGCCGGCGGCCTCCGACGCGGGCGGCGTGGCGCGGCCGAGCATGCCGTCCAGCATCTCCCCCAGCGCCCCCTCCAACTCCCGCAGCGCCGCAGGCGTTGCCCACACGTGCAGAAGAATCACATTCTCGCGCGCCGCCGCCGCCTCGTGCGCCTGCCAGGGCTCGCCTTCGTCCAGCGCAAAGCAGCAGGAGCGGGCGTCAAGCGTCAAGGCGCCCCTTGCGTGGGGACGACTCGCCAACCAGACCTCGCCCTGCGCCCACAGAATTGTGGCCTGTCGGCAGCAGCCCCGCAGTGCACCCGCCTCCAGCAGCGGTGCAAGACGCGCCGCTATGAGAGGCCGCCCCACGCGACGAAGAGTAATCTCACGAAGTGACGCCTCTGACGAGGTCGAAACATTTGCCGCCGTCATCGTCGCCCGCGGCGGGAAACTGATCGGTCGGCGAGCCGTCAAGCCACAGTAAAGCGCAAGGTCAGTGTTCAACTGGCTTGCCAGGCGCAGCATTCCCCAGGTTGGGGGGGAAAATTCCTCCATGTCCGTGTCGAGCGTCAACAGCACGTCCGACAACATCGCACCGTACACAAATGCCGCCGCGGCGGCCGCGTCGCGTTGCCCCACGATTGCCTCGCTCACGCCTGGAAGCAGCAGTGTCAGAACTCGCGGTCGTGCACCGCGCGCTGACCAGTGTGTCAGCTCCTCCTCGGAGAAGACATTGACGTCGACGTCGGAAGAGAGGCAGAGAACGAGAACGTGCGCCCCCGCACGCAGAGCGGCGAGGGCGGCCTGCTCAACCTCCTCGCGCGGCGTTGACGGCGTGACGCTCAGAACAAACTCCGTCATGAGTTGCTTCGCAAGCTGCGTGGCGCGTCCCTCGGTATCGCCAGGCGCACAAACGAGCATCAGCTCCAGCCCCGCCAACGACCCGGACGGCGGCGCGCTGGAATGGCGCGTCGCAACCGCCACGTCGTCGCCAAAGACGCCAAATCCTTTCAGCGGCGCGTACACGCCAGCGTCGTGCGCCCGGCGCAGGCAGCGTTGCAGATCCTCAAGTGCCCCCCGCTCGGGCTCGGTCCGCAGCAGGCGGGTTGCCTTGGCGTACCCGAACCAGTCGTACGGCTCGTCCGGAGACTCCTCGTCCTCCACGGCGTCCCTGGCAGCGCCAGACGGCGCAGTAAGAGCCAACGCAACGTACACGGTCACGCAGACGACGCTAGACCCATCATCACCGCTGCGGTCGTAGTAGCACACGGGTGGGATGCAGCTCGGGATGTAAAAGTTGTCAGGGCTGATGTCACACTGCTCGCATAGCGCCCGCACAGCGCAGTCCATGGCCGATTCCTCCGCGTCGTCGTGTAGGAGAAATGGCAGCCGCATGCCGCCAAACTCCCCGGAAAGACTACGTACAAGGACGCACTTGCGCCCTCGCACAAGAAGCGCCCCATAGGCGTGGGCGGTAGTGGAAACGTTGTAGCTTGGCACCTCCGCCATCGCGCAAACTGTCATGGATCGTTTTTCTTGCATTCTCGTGAGTGGTGTCAGCCCAAGTGCCTTCAGCGTCGTCCTCCCGGCTTCATCACGCTCCAGGCTTGTCTCCACGCGAACTGCCAAGCCCTTTTTTAACTCCAATCCCTTCAACCCGGCGGCACCCAATCGCGCAGCCTCCGCAAGGCGATGCACCACCACTCGACCCTGCGTGGTGCCCAAAATACCTGCGGCGGCGTCCATGACGCGACCCTCCAACATCACCCGCGTCGGGTGTCTGCAGTGCTGCAGCGCCGTGATCCCAAACACGGTGCTGGCTTCAGTGGGGCAGTGGCACCCCGCCGAGCAGGGTCCCTCGCTCCCCTCGCTTGCGGCCCCGCCTTCCTCCTCCTCCTCCTCCTCCTCATCCAACTCGGAACCGGCTGCTGCGCCGTCGTCGTTGTCGCATCCGGTGGTGGTCAGCGGGCTGAGAGTGACCCGCTGCTCTGTCTTCTTCGTCTCCTTGCTCAACACAAAGTCAATGCGAAACACACGTGGTGCGCTGAAATGTGTCTCCAAGTTCACTGTCGTGCCGTCCGCGCTGCTGCCCGCCTCTCTAGCCACAGCCTCAAAAAGTGAGGGCTTAAGGTTTGTTGAAATGGACCACGAGTCAAGCAGGGATAAAACCTCACCGCTCGCGTCCGTCGCGGAACCCTGGAGCCACTCCTGCCATTCCTTTGCTTGGGCCGCATTCGACGTCAACACCACCAACTGCGGCTTTGGGTACTCCCCCGCAGGGGCTCGCTTGCTTGCATCCTTCGCAAGCTGCCGAAATGGCCGGACAGACTCGGGACAAAGAAGAATGAGGCGACGCACGAGGCGATCTGCGTGCCCAAGCATCTTCTCCCCCATGATGACGTACTTGAAGGCAAGCGGGGCGGACACGCCCGCGGCGACCATCGTCGCCTCATGTGCGTTGAGTTTTGCCAGCACATTCGAGAGGCGCTTGACGACGGGGCCGACCGTAGGCGTGACTCGCTCCCCCTGCTCCATCGCCTCCGGCAGCGCGGTGGTGTCGGCGACGTACATGGCATGTGTAGTGTTGGGCCGCTGCGAAAACAGGTGCGCGGCGAGCGGGGCCCACTGGCTGCATGGGTGCTGCTGCTCGGCCCCCTTCCGCGTCTTGAGCACAATGACGGGCTGCTCGGGGGCAAACACCACCTGGTACCCCGGCCGCGTGTTGGCAAAGGCGTAGAGGCGCACCGCGGCGTCTTTCGACGTGCCCACGACGTGGTCCCGGTGCAGCCGCTTGTCGGCGCGGCTCATGTTCTGCCGCTTTTTTTATTTCTTCTCTCTCTCTCTGTGTGTGCGCGTGATTCCCCCGCCGCCGCAGCAAATCCCCGCGCAGCGCCCCTCCTCGCCGGGGGGGGGGACACGGGCGCAAAAAAAAGAAAAAAAAGAAAGAAAAGAAACGAAGGTAGCGCGGTGGGAAAGGACGCCGG